GGAATTTTTTTCTGAGGTAAATTTTGAGCACTGAAAAATTTCAGGTCCAGGTCTCTGTGCATGATGTGAAACCAAACACAGGTTTATAGCTGTGAATGTGGTTATAAAACAATTCTTCAGTGTTGAATTGTTCAGCTTTCAAACCAGTTACATATATCACTACCCGAGGTATGCATAACTGTTAGTAAAATCAAACTTTTTCTGGCTATCTTCCTGCAAACAGTAACTGAAACCACTGGCAGAACGTAGATCTTATTCAAAGGACTAGACCAGGGCTTTTCAAACTGTCTTCCTGTAGAACAGGTAGTCCTCGACATATGTTCATTTAGTATTTGTTCAAAGTTACAACCTCACTGAAAAAAGTGAATTATAACCAGTTTTCATGCTTACAACTGTTGCAGCGAAGTCAGTGGGGAAGCCAGATTCACTTACCAACCAATGTCACTAACTTAACAATTGCAGTAATTCACTTAATAACGGCGAAAGATCGTAAAATGGGAGCAAAATTCATTTCGCAAACCTCTCACCTAGCAACAGAAACTTTTGATTCCATTGTGGTCGTAAGTTGAGGACTATATATACCCAGGGGTGGGCTGCTGGGGTTTTGCAGGGGTTCGAGAGAGACCCTAGCTAAGATTCTGTGCAGTTCAGAGAACCCATTCAAATCCCACTCCTGGCTGGCCCAGCCCAGACCACACCACCCTGCCTCTCCCAGGAGTCCCCATGCAGCCCATTTTGGAGGCAGGAAAGTGCAGGGAGCACAGAGTTTTCAGAGAGGATGAAAAATGGGTCTCCCGGAAATTCAGAAAGGCCGGAAATGGGCCCGCTTCCAGAGAGCTTCCGGAGTCCGGGGAGGCCGTTTTCCACCTTGAGGAAAGCCTCTGGAGCCGAAGAGGGCAAAAATGCCCCCCACCCCACCATGGTGCAGGAGGCCAACTAGCCACACCCACTATAGCCACGCCCACCCATCAACCAGGCAGACAACCTTTTACTATTTTTTTTTTAAAAAACAATTTTATTGGTTTTTAAAAACAAACAAAACAAACAAAACATAAAAACATCCAGCTTTCTTTCATAAATATACAAACAGTGTGTCGGTTGGTTTACCAGTTTTTGTGCATTCATTTTGTATTCTCAATTACAGTTACATTACATAATAACTCATATTATCAATCAGAAATTATATATCCTAGTATCACTATTAAACAATCATTTGACTATAATTTTATTCATTCATACTTTACGAGATAACTATAATTTACTTAGTTTATTTTATAACAAATCATATAGCCATACCAAATCTATCCTGAAAACATTTTATAGATATGATATCAAATAACAAAGAAAAGAAAAAATATCTTTTTATATATTCATTATTATCTAAAATTCTAAATATTCTATTATTGTATTTTATCATCCAGCCATTGATAGAAAAGGTCCCAAATTTTATAGAATTGTTTATCCTCCTGTTCTCTAATTTCAAATGTCAATCTACTCATTTCAGCACATAGCCACACCCACTATAGCCACGGCCACCCATCAACCAGGCAGACAACCTTTTACTAATATTTTTGAAGCCCACCCTTGCATGTACCCTAACTTTCGGTGAGAATATGACTGGATTTCGGGACAGATGAAAGGATAAATTCATTCAAACAGCCAATTTGCTATCCCTAGATTATTGCCTCTTGGTTGTGGGATCCACTGATTTATTTATTTTTTCTTAATAGGTTTTGTTGCCTGAAAAAGTTTGAAAATCCCTGGCTTAGATGTCTTTCACCCTTCCTCAGATAAGCAAACTAGAGGTACAGAACAGACCTTCTATGTTGGCTGGGGAATTCTGGGAGTTGAAATCCACACATCTTCAAGGTATCAAGTTTGAGAAACATGGTCTATTTGATTGTTCCACATAGGGAATTCTGCTTTGGATGGGATGTCTTGCATTCGGTGTATATATTTTTTTTATTGTCAAAAGTGTACCCTTTCTGCTTATCTGAGCACTCATGTAAGCAATTAAACAATACGAATGATAAAACACAACAGGAAAATCTGTGTAGTTGCAATCAAAATGAAAAATAATAATAATTGAAATAATTATTACATTTGGTTAAAAAAAGCTACAAGTTACTGTATATAAACAGAGAGTGAACCTCGCACACTCTAGCACTGATGAATAGAATAGAATAGAATAGAATAGAATAGAATAGAATAGAATAGAATAGAATAGAAGGAAGGGACCCTGGAGGTCTTCTAGTCCAACCCCCTACCTAGGCAGGAAACCCTACACCACTTCAGACAAATGGTCATCCAACATCTTTTTAAAAACTTCCAGTGTTGGAGCATTCACCACTTCTGGAGGCAAGTTGTTCCACTGATTAATTGAAATTAGCTAGTGTCATCCTTGGAAGCCATATTAACACCAGAAGCTTCCATGAGGCTACATTCCAGTGCCTGGGAAATTGGGAGGGGGGATTTCATAGAGTGTATGCAGTTAGACATAATAGCATTCTTCTTTTCAGTCAAGGTCATGTCATTCCTGCACCTGGTTGAGGAGTGATTAGAGGATTGCCCTCCAGCTGGGACGGATGATGATTGGACCATGTGATGGACTGAGGGGTGCAGGGGGACGAGTCTTTGACTTTCAATTATTGAGGGAAAGCCCGGAACTCTCAAATTCGGGTTTTCCCAGATGTGCCAGTATGACAACTCTAATAAAATGGAACTTTGAGAAAATGCCTGTCTCGGAATTGTGGTGTTGGAATTTGTTTTTCTGGAACACTGACAGCTAGTCAGGTGAGGAAACATCTGCAGGCAAACAACCAAGCCCAGAGAGAATTCACAGTTCACCCCTGAGCTACAGATATTCTTTTCTACGGCAATTGTACAAAGAGTACTGAACATTACTACATAACATAGATCACATTACTAATTCAAATGATTAGTAATGTATAAGTTATTTATAGTTAGTAATTTAAAATAATTAGTAAATATAATTACTAATATTGTTGAGATGAAACCAGAGTTTTTCTTATTGGGAGTTATGGATAGCCAATTAGAAAAGATTTTTGGAAGATTGATTTTATATACAGCAAGATTATAATATGCGTAAGGATGGAGAAGCACTGAAATACTCATAACGGAGGAACGGATTGTGAAGTTGACTGAACTAGCTGAGATGGAAAAACTGAACTGTTTGTCAGGCACTAAAAATAAATACTTTTATAACAGACTGCAAACCTTTTATAGACTGTTTGATGAACAGTAGAAAAACTAAAATGGTGATTTGTGGAATCTGAGGATTGAAAAGGGAATGAATAAGGGGATAAAGGAATTATTGTAACGTTAAGGAGGAAGGCATAACAATTAGTTTGCAACTGCTCTTAAAGAAGGGCAGAAGTTGCTTCTTTATCTTTTTCTTCCTTTCTTTTTTTTTAATTGTAGCCTCTTCTGCGTTTTTCCTTTTCTCTGTTTCTTTATATTTTACTCAACCTACAGCCACAGAGAAATTTGTTTAGTGAGTTCTGCCCCATTTTATGTCTTTTCCTGCCCTATTCATTAAGCCCGGGTGTCAAACTCGATTTCGTTGAGGGCTGCATCAGGGATGTGTTTGACCTCGGAGGACCGGGGTGGGTGTGGCTAGGGTGGGCGTGGCCAGCTTGACATCACTCGTGTCAGGGGCTCCTGTGGTGGCCTGAGCACTCTGCCAGTAAAAACAGGCTCCCAAGTTCTGTTTTCGGTTGTGACAGCCTCCTGCAACCCTCCACCAGTGAAAACGGAGCTCGGGGGGGAGGGGCGCATGTGGCCCTCCTGAGCTCCTTTTTCACTGGCAGAAGCACCACAGGTGGGCCAGATCTACGCACCCCGCAGGCCAGATCTGGACCCTGGGCCTTGAGTTTGACACCCCTGCATTAAGCGATTCACTGCAGCTGTTAAATTAGTAAGCTGTTAAGTGAATCTGGCTTGACTTCACTTGCCAGAAGGTCGCAAAAGGGGATCACGTGACTCTGGGATACTGCAACCGTTATAAATGTGAGTCAGTTGTTAAGCATATGAATGTGAGTCACGCAGTGGCGGGATTCAAATTTTTTTACTACTGGTTCTGTGGGCGTGACTTGGTAGGAGTGGTGTGGCCTGGTGGGCGTGGCTTAGTGGGCACGGCAGGGGAAGGATACTGTAAAATCCCCATTCCCTCCCCACCCTACTAACCTGCTTTCCAGCTCCGTTCTCCTGTGCAGGGCAACCAAAGAAGACCCAGCCGATCAGCTGGGACTCGGGAGGCAGAGAATAGATGGGGGGCGGGGCCAGTCAGAGGAGGGATTTGCCGGTTCTCTGAACTACTCAAAATTTGCACCACTGGTTCTCCAGAACTGGTCAGAACCAGCTGGGGATACTACAACGGTCCCAAGTGTGAAAAATGGTCATAAGTTACTTTTTTCAGTGCCGTTGTAACTTTGAATGGTCACGAAACGAACTGTTGTAAGTCTAGGGTTATCTGTATTCGTTTTTGTTTTTTGTTTTGACTATGATGAGACTTTATTTATTTATTTATTTTTAAAGAAATGGCCATTGTATAATGGAGAAGTTTGTTTTTCCCTTGCTCTTTCTTTCCAGTTCTGCTTTTGTGGGAGAACTAAAATGGCATAGCTGGGCAAGTATACTTAGGTTTACCCCGTGGTGGGGCTAAATATAACCTGTTGGAAGTTGACTGACTTGAACATAAGATCCCCTTCTTGAGCTTTCATAAGACCTCTACATTGCTCCTACTGACCTGGTTAAACATGCAGGGAAACGAGACCAAGTTTTCTGGTGAAAATGAATACAGCAATTTCCCCTCCTACAGGCAGACACATATTCATTCAGGCCTATATAGTTCAGTCTTGTGGCTGAGTGGAAACATCTGCTTCTCCACTTCTAGTTTGTGTGGTAGGTCTCTATTTCCTGGTGGAAGCAGAAGTTTCATTGAGCTTTTTTTCTTCTTCTTTTGACATCTGTCAGAAGCAGAAATGCCTCAGATCCCAAAGAAGGCGGACTGTTGAAGGTAGACGCTCGAGTGTATGGAATGGTGAAAGAAACCAAAACGTACAGAGGACATTTGGTGGGATAAGGGGAAGAAGGTAAGAAGGATCTAAAGAAGTTCTAGAAGTTGACGGAGTTCAAGTGAGACAACCACCGGGAAAGAGCCAAAAGTAAGATCGGAGGATGGCAAACTGTGGGAAGGCTTTGGTGAATGAGGAGGTGTGGTTGTGTGTGCCTTCAAGTCTGTGTTGACTCTTGACGATTGCCTAGACAAGTCCCCGTAGTTTTCTTGGCAAGATTTCAGAAGATTTCAGCCATTGCCTTCTTCCTAGGGCTGTGAGAGAGGGACTGGCCCAAGGCCACCTAACTGGCTTTATGCTTAATGTGGAGAACTTTCTAGACTGGTGCCTTCACCACTACACCAAAATGGTTTCTCGAATGAGGAGGTACACGGCTTATCATAGAGTTGTATTTACGGAGTGTATGTGAAGCCAGGGATGGAGTACTTGCTGAACTTGCTCTTATGAGGAATGGAATACTAGTAGCAACGTGGTTGCTTTTTTGACTTGTGGTAAGTAGAGCTTGCAGAGTGGACCCTGCATATTGCTACTCTGGGGATAGTGCTACTACAGCAGATCCCACATGTCTGCTGTAGTAACACTGTTGCTTAAATCTTTTACACTTTTAAAACACCATCTATGTGTTTTACCTCCCAAAAAGGAGAACTGTGTCTTGTGTAAGTGCAACTTTTTGGATTCTTCACTGGGGCAGTAACAGGAGAGAGATTTCCCTAAATCAATTTATTTTTTGTAGAGTTGTAATTGCAGGAATGTTCCAATCTCGGATGGCAAACCTCAGATAAAGAATGTTTCCAAGCAGATACAACTCAGGCAAACAAAGTCACTAATCTAAAGGAGGATTAGAGAGAGGAAGTAAACATATGTTAGACTTTAACTAGAGATAATGAATTGTATTAATTACTGTGCTAAACAGTAACCAAAGTTAAGCAGTAACCAAAGTTAACCAATGATGGAGGATAACTAAAAACGTGTATAAATGCAAGACTAGACTCCAATAAAGATCATTATGATTCAGTTGTTCATGATCAAACAACTCGACTGCCTCGTCATTACAACAATTTTTATCAATTTAATTTATCCATCCATTGGCACAAATTTCAGCAAAAAAATAAAATAAAAAAATGTGTAGTTTGACATCAGCCCCAGCATTTTGTACTTGGTGAAATAATCATCATCATCATTTTTTTTTAAAAAAAACCCAGCATAATAGAAGAGAAAGAATTGGAGAAAAATCACAAATTACAAAAATATAGATTATAGAAATATGCACATAGAAATAAATGGATTAAGCAAAGTCTATTCATTCATTCATTCATTCGTTTATTTATTTATTTAATATCTACCCTGCCCATGCCACTTAATTACTCTGAAGTGGTATATCGTTAGGTCTGCTTCTTGAGCAGGGGGTTGGACTAGAAGACCTCCAAGGTCCCTTCCAACTCTGTTATTCTGTTATTTTGTGGGGTTTAAAACATTTAATAGGTGCTTTGGGTGCAATCCCCAAACAACCACTTGAACAAGCTCCATTAGTCAATTGCAAAAGGCAGCTTTTCTTTCCTTGGAACAACTTAAATCCTGCGAGATGATTAAACACCACGAGACAACATCAGCCTATCCCAGGTCCTCGGGGAGGACTTGACAGGTGGATAAAAATGCCAAACACTGTCTACGTATCTAACCGTTCAACGGGCCATATTAATAGTTATAAAGTAGGCAGGGTGAGGTTGAGATCCCCATGTTGTCATTTGCACTCTGTGGTTCCTTCTGTGCCTCCGTCACTTCCATCAGTCTTCTTCTGACATTTGTTCTCTATTTTTTTGTTTTTCAGAAGACTTCCCCTATAACGCTGGGCAATGTTTACTATTTCGGATAACATTTGTGCGAATGGTAAGTGCTGACTGACTTGTATCTTTTGTGTCTAACTTCTTCAGAAGAGGAACCCGTGTTCTGGAACTGAGGATGACCATTTGGGGGCTTTACAAATGATGATTTCATTGCAAGTTGAAGCCACTGTTAAGCCAAGGCCACTTAACCACAATCCCTTGGCAAGTCATCTTGGCCATCAGAATTTTAGAGACACATCTTGAGTGTGACAACCCATGAATATAATAGTTGTAGGTGGTGGGATGCTGGTAACAGTAATAGATAACAGGTAATCAGAGTTGGAAGGGACCTTGTAGGTCATCTAGTCCAACCCCCTGCCCAAGCAGGAGACCTTACACCATTTCTGACAGATGGGAGTCAATCTCTTCTTGAAAGTTTCAAGTGATGAAGCTCCCACAACTTCTGAATGCAAGCTGCTCCATTGGTTGATTGTTCTCACTGTCAGAAAGTTTCTCCTTATTTCCAGGTTAAATCTCTCCTTGTTCAGTTTCCATCCATTATTCCTTGTCTGGCCTACAGGAGCTTTAGAAAATAGCTTGACCCCCTTCCTCTCTGTGGCAGCCCCTCAAATATTGGAAGACCGCTATCATGTCTCCCCTGGTCCTTCTCTTTACTAGACTAACCAGGCCCAGTTCCTGTAACCGTTCTTCATATGCCTTAGTCTCCAGTCCCCTAATCATCCTGGTTGCTCTTCTCTGTACTTTTTCTAGAGTCTTTTTTTTCTAGATTCTTTTTTATAGTGTGGTGACCAAAACTGGATGCATTACTGTAGGTGTGGTCTTACTAAGGCTTTATAGAGTGGTATTAGTACCTCACTTGATCTTGATTGTATCCCTCTGTTAATGCAATTTAGGGTTGCATTAGCTTTTTTGGCTGCTGTTGCACACTGCTGTATATTGGGTTGCAAGGTAGCTTCTAGATTAGAGATTGAGCTTGCATAGAATAGCATGATCGTGGTTGCTGCTTATAGTATATTGCCCAAAATTGATCAGTTTTCTCTTTATCATTATTAGGAAATGTTTCATGAAGCAAGGGAATGACTAGCAATTTAATAATCGAATAAAAGAGTTGGAAGGGATCCTGGAGACTTAAAGTTGCAAAGTTTGGAGACCCCTGATATAGATTTAAGGATGAACAGAATGGCTAAAATGTCAGGAAGTATGAATTGGTGTAGTCTAGATTGTTGTGGGTGCATGTGGAAACAAGAATTAGTAGATTGATGATAGTTGGATATTAAAATTCAATGAACAGCAATGATGAAAGAAACAGAAATGAGTTTGGGGTAGATATTGTGCAACATTCTAAATCAGGGGTCCCCAAACTTGGCAACTTTAAGACTTGTGGACTTCAACTCCCAGAATTCTTGTGGACAGCATAGCTGGCTGGAGAATTCTGGGAGTTGAAATCCACAAGTCTTAAAGTTGCCAAGTTTGGAGACCTCTGTTCTAAATGAATGTGATCTGTGGGACATAAATAGCTAGAGAAGGATGTAATGAGAAACACGAATGGACCAATATGATGAAAATGGTTATATGTTTGGTGAGCATCTCCTGAGAAAAATGATCTATTGCTTTCAAGCAAAGGTGGGGAATGATGGCCCCTTTAAGACTTTCTGGAACTTCAACTCCCAGAATTCCTGAGCCAGCCATGTTGGCTCAGGAATTCTGGGAGTTGAAGTCTACAGGCCATAAAAAGGCCATAGTTCCCTACCTCAGCTTTCAAATATGTGGCTTAAGCATACATCTATTGAAGTGTACACCTAGAAAAGGACAGCAACTACATCTGAAAGTTTGAAGGCTGGGAGAATGCTGTAAAATTGTAATATTGTAGCAAGTGTGGTTGGCATAACTGGAGAAATGTTAAAATATGGAAGTGGTTTGCTTACGCAGAGGCTGTGCTACTTGTTGAAGGCAAGTCTGAAGATAGTCCTTGTGTCTAAAACTGTTGGAAGAATGCTGATACTATTCCCTTCCTTAAGAAATGAAAGCAAGAATGGATACCCAAAAGGGATTATTTCCCAGCATGCCTTGCTTGGGAAACTGCTTGGCAGAATTCTGATTGAAAGAGTACAAAAGGTCACCATGAGCAAAATTTGAGAAGTGCTCTAAGAAATGGATGTCCTGTGTAAAAGGAAGCTCACTGTACATTTCTTGAGAGAAAATGGGTGAGCCTTGATTTATGGAAAGTTTCACAAATGTAGAATTATGGAAATACGGAATTTGCGGACTGGGTGTGGTAAGGCTGGTATATGGTAAAAGGAAGTCATATGTGAGATAAATTTGGCAAACAGTTCAACAGTGGGCACAGACTAAGTCAAGAAAGCCTTTGTGGTTGCTCGATATATTTATAGATAAATGTGTCAGGGTTGCTTGGGAAAAAAGGACTGATATCTGCTACAGGTTATACAAAGGAATCAGAACACATTTGATTTAATTGGCATCTAGATTATAATTTCAGACAGATATGAAAGCAATAATGTTAATATGAAAGCAATAATTAATGCCATGATTAAATGAGTAAGTTAAAAGTAGATGGGTAAATTTAAATTAAATTAATGCAATGATTAAAACATTAAATGAAAGCCATTTGGATATATATATTTGATTTGTGTGGCGATCAGGTTATTCTCCATGAAATATTATTTTAAATCAGGCAGTCTTCTCTGGAACCCAGTGACTCAGGGTACCAGCCAGAATGGGCCACTAGAGGAAAGATTGCCAAAGATTGACCACAACAAAAACAAAACCTCAGTTGTGTATAATCACAAATAGCAGAACAGAACCAGGCAGACAAACTTTGTTGCCGTGTGTATGTATGTATGTATGTATGTATGTATGTGTGTGTGTGTGTGTGTGTGTGTGTGTGTGTTGATAGACAGAGAGAGAAAGAGAAATAGAGAAAAAGAGAGTGAGTGAGAGAGAAAGAGAGAGAGAGAGAGAAAGGGAGGGAGAGAAAGTGTGTGTGTGTGTGTGAGAGAGAGAGAGAGAGAGAGAGAGAGATTGAGAGAGAGAGGTAAGAGAGAGAAAGAGAAAAGAGAGAGAAGAAAAGAGAGACAGAGAAGGAGTGAGTGAGTGAGAGAGAGAAAGAGAGAGAGACTGAGTGTGAGAGAAAGAGAGAGGGAGAGAAAGAGAGAGGAAAAGAGAGACAGAGAGAGTGAGTGAGTGAGTGAGAGAGAGAGAGAGAGAGAGAGACTGAGAGAAAGAGAGAGGGGAAAACAAAGAGAGAGAAAGAGAAAGAGGGGGAAAGAGAGAGGGGGGGGGAGAAAGGGGGGGGAGACAAATTGACTACCCAACTCCACTGTAAAGACTTACTCTTGGTTACAAGGAGGTCAAAGCCTTCTGTGAATGGCCTGTCTTTTGCTATACAAACTAAGGCGGAGGAGCCCCACTTTTCCTCTCAATATTCAGAAAACTCATTAAAAGAGAATTTAATTATTGTTTGGCAGAAGAATTGCAGATAGATACAACCCTATGCATTGACAAATATAATTTTATCTTTGAAGTCAGTGTGTAGCAGAGCCCTACCTAGTAGTTGAAAATATTCCCCTTCAGTCATATTAACATTTTATAATTCAATAGTGACTTTTACGAGATGCTCTTGTACGCCACATTTTGGAAACATTGAAAGTAGATCGTCCATCTCTGGCATGAAACATGAAATGATGTGAATCTGTGTTATATTTAGAATTGCCACCCATGTCCAAGGTAGTCCTCGACTTACAGCTACAATTGAGCCCAAAATGTCTGTTGTTAAGCAAGACGATTTGTGAGTTTGCCCCATTTTACAATAGTTGTTAAGTGAACCACTGCAGTTGTTAAATTAGCAACACGGTTGATAGAGTGAATCTGGCTTCCTCATTGATTCTGCTTGTCAGAAGGTCGCAAAACACAACCCCGGGACACTGCAACCGTCATAAATATGAATCAGTTGCCAAGCGTCCGAATATTGGTCGTATGATCATGGGGATGCTACAATGGTTGTGAAAAACAATCATAAGTCACCTTTTTTCCATTGATGTTGAAACTTAGCAGTTACTAAATGAAGGGTTGTGAGGCAAGGACTATCTGCAATGGGTTTCGGATTCCTTTGATGAAACAAACCTACCCAGTGGAGACAGAGGGTACATCTGCTCTCTTGTGTCATTCCCCTGAAGTTTAAATGGCTTAAACCTTCTGATCTTCCACAAGTCCTGAAAAATCTGGTTCTTGCCCCAAAGATTGGGCCGGATTCTGGGCCTTTGAACACACAGACCAGTGGTGGGCTTCAATTTTTTTTTACTACTGGTTCTGTGGATGTGGCTTGGTGGGCGTGGCAGGGGAAGGATACTGTAAAATCTCCAGTCAAAGGTGGTATTTGCCGGTTCTCCAAACTACTCAAAATTTCCTCTACCGGTTCTCCAGAACTGGTCAGAACCTGCTGAATATCCACCTCTGACACAGACGCAAGACCTTTGAATGAATAATTTGTTAGCTTGGCCTGAGTCACTTCTATGACTCCAAAATTTTGTTGTTGTTGTTTATGTCAGAAAAACACGGGACAGTAAAATATATTGTAACATTTAATTTAGTTTTGCTTTTAAAATTATAAATAGCCCAGAGTTTCTCTTCCAATTTGGGCAGCCATATAAAATGACTGACTGACTGACTGACTCACAGGTGGTATTCAGCAGGTTCAGATCAGTTCTGGAGAACCAATAGTGGAAATTTTGAATGGTTCAGAGAATCGATGGTAACCTTCCCCCAGGATTGGGGTGGGAATGGACATTTTACAGTATCCTTCCCCCACCAAGCCACACCCACCAAGCCATCCCAAATCCACCAAGCCACGCACACAGAACCGGTGGTAAAAAAATTTGAATCCCACCAGCGGACTGACTGACTGACTGACTACGGACTGACTACTGACTGACTGACTGAGTGACTGACTGACTGACTGACTGAGTGACTGACTGACTGACTGACTGACTGACTGACTACTGACTGACTAACCGACTGACCAACTGAGTGACTGACCAAATGACTGAATGACTGAAAACATGTGAAGAACGGTTACAGGAACTGGGCATGGCTAGTCTAGCGAAGAGAAGGACCAGGGGAGGCACGATAGCAGTCTTCCAATATTTGAGGGGCTGCCACAGAGAGGAGGAGGGGATCGAGCTATTTGCTAAACCACCTGAAGGCCAGGCAAGGAATAATGGATGAAAACGGAACAAGGAGAGATTTAACTTGGAAATAAGGAGAAACTTTCTGGCAGTGAGAACAATCAATCAACGGAACTGCTTGCCCTCAGAAGCTGTGGGAGCGCCATCACTTGAGACGTTCAAGAAGGGACTGGACTGCCATTTGTCAGAAATGGTGTAGGGTCTCTCGCTTGGATAGGGGGTTGGACTAGATGACCCACAAGGTCCCTTCCAACTCTGATTATCTGTTATCTGTCATGAGTGATTGACTGAGTGACTGACTGACCGAATGACTTGGTTACAATAGACATAGTGATGGAGACAAAGGGGCCAGATTGCTCATTAAAGTCTTTCCTGATGACTCTTCTTGTAGGAAGTTTTATTCCAGTCTGGGCAGTGCTCCTAGCAGCTGCTGGTGTCTTCTTGATGCTGCTGGCAATTGTGGTCCTATCCATATGTCTTTGCCGGGTCTATAAAAGAGGTGAGTATCTCTTTTATTGGGGGGAGGGGAAGACTTTTTAAATATGGCCCCACAAAAGATGGGCATAAAATCTTTTGAAACATGGAACACCTAATTTTTCACTGCTCAGTGACCACAATGAAACCTTTTCTGTTCTTTTCTGTTCTGAACTCCCCTTTTTAAATTTTTTGTTTAAAAAAAGGAGTTTTTTTCCCCACTGAATCCTCAGTGAAAAAACATGAGCTCAAATTGGAAAAGTTTTCTTTTGTGCGGATACTTTGGAATCAGAAAACTGATGTACATCAGATAAAAAGATTTGTAGCACCATGGAGGTAAATATGTGATTCTCACCTGAAAGATTTTTAATAAGAAAAAAAAAGCTGAGGAAAAATAATTGGAAAATACTAAAGATGGAAGTTCTCGACATCTGAACTGCACTCAGTTGGGCTTGGTGATCTAGATCAGATGTGTCTAACCCACGACCCATGGGTTGCATCCAGCTCTGGACAGCTAGTGTTGGAAGAAATATCCATTCTGGTTCAGTTCCAAGCAGGGAGAAAGACCGTGGAAATACAGAGGCTGATTGGAAAGATGTTTTTTTTAATGAAGCAGAACATCAAGCATATGGTTCTGGTGTAGCTCAACACATGGAGTGGAGAGTGAGGGTTATTTATACCCTCTTTTTGGGCCTTGCCCTTGAGCTTCCTGTTCCTGTGGCAAGGGCATGTATTCTATTGGTTGCTGTCAGACTCCCATGGGGCTATGCAGGGGTCATAGCTGATTTTGTAGGTTATCTGATGCAATGAAGGGGCTTGTTGCGCAATTCCTATTGTGGCTGAATGGCTTTGCCCTGAAGGATAATCCCATCATCCTGGAGCTGAAGGTCTTTTGTTTTGTAGATAGGCTAGCCCAGTTTTTCTTAAAGGGCACCAAATATATGCTGTGGGCAGGGAGTTGTTTTCTGCCTTTAAAACATGTTTCTTCTTTTATAATCCAGGGAATATATAATATTCTGCCTTTTTAAATATTTCTCAAAATATTTCATTTTCCTAGGAGAGGGATGAGTGCTAACTTTCTACAATAGCAATGTGGTCCCACAAGATATAATGAAAAAATATTTTTAAAATAAAGGAAGTTTGTTATTTATATCCATTAACTATTATATATTAATTGCCTAAGGCAATTCCTCTTCACTCAGTGCAGCTCAAGCAAGCCAAAAGGTTGGACACCCATGATCTAGATCAGGTGTGGGGAACGATGGGCCCTTTAAGAGTTGCGGACTTCAACTCCCAGAACTCCTGAGCCACGATGGGAGCTGAAATCCACAAGTCATAAAAAGGCCATCATTCCCCACCTTTGTTCTAGATGGTTCCTTCAAACTTTTAGATTCTATGCTACCGTTTCTCAATCTTGGTATATTTAAGATGTGTGGACTTTGACTCTCAGAATTAGTTGCCAAAGTTGATCGATTCTACACAATGTAAAGGAAATCTGTGAATATGTATTTTATCTTGCAAAATGCATGATTCACAAAATCCCATCATAGCCCAGATCCTCACAATGAGTAGAATCTGCTTGTATCTGTTTGGCCCACTTAAAAATCTGCAGTTCCTGCCTCTTTTATCTATGACAGATGCATCCCAAAAGGATGTGTGCTGATAGTCCTCAACTTACAACAGTTCATTCAGTGACCATTCAAAATTACAATGGCACTGAAAAAAGGGACGTATGGCTGTTTTCACACTTAAGTCCATTGTCGGATCTCCATGGTCATGTGATCAAAATTCAGAGGCTTGGCAATTGTCTCATAGTTATGATGTCAGGGCTCCGGCATCCACTGCCATTTAAATCATGCGTCTCTAGCCACATCTCTCAGATTTTAAAAAAGATTTATTAGGAGTGAACATGCCAGTGCTACCTGAGTGTAGCCGACTCTGAGACACATCATTCATCTCACTCTTGACCCTGGTCTTCCTCCACCCCCTGGATGTATATTCTCCAATGGGACACACCCATAGCCAAGAGTCTTCAATTATGCTCTCCAGTAATCTTGTGTGCCAGAAGCTTCGGTCGCCTAGAAATTATCTAAGGAATGCACTACTTCCCCCATTCCCTTTCTGCTGGCAACTCCAAAAGACCAGAGAAATATTTTTGTGTTGATATATGATGGTTGCAGTGGCCCAGAATCACGTGATCCCCTTTTACGACCTTCTGATAAGCAAAGGGAAAGTCAGATTCACTTTACAACCATGTTACCAGGGGTGGGTTTCTACCAGTTCGCACCTATTTGCTAGAACCAATTGTTAACATTCTAAGCAGTTCGGAGAACTGGTTGTTAGAAGAAATTACTGGCCTAATCCTGTAAGGAAGGCAGGAAGGAAACATTCTGGTGTTGCTTACAGAAACTGCCTCTTCATTAACCCTTATTACATTCTTGGCAGGACTAGACTTCCTGTCTCAGGAATGTCTCTGGAGTTTTTTCCCCCCTCCTTTGCTGGTACTTTGCTTGCGTGGAGTGACCATTCAAAATTAAAATGGCACTGAAAAAAGTGACTTATGACCATTTTTCACACTTACGACTGTTGCAGCATTCCCACAGTCATGAGAGGCCAGGCGAGGAGATGCGTACCTCGATGTGAGCGATACTGAATTGGCCATGCCCAGCCAGTCACATGACCACCAAGCCATGTCTACCCAATCACATGACCACCAAGCTGCACCCACCACCTAAGCCACACCCACAGAACCGGTTGTTAAAAAATTTGAATCCCACCCCTGCATGTTACTTAACAATTGCAGAGATTCACTTAACAACTGTGGCAAGAAAGGTTGTAAAATGGGCAAAACCCAAGTAACAATTATCTCACTTAGCATCAGAAATTCTGGGTTCAATTCAGGGGTGGGATGCTACCAGGTCTGCCCGGCTCTATAGAACCGGTAGCTCTGAAGAGCAGCAGACACCGAACCAGTTCTGTGTTTGGCCCACCCACCCTCCTGGGCTCTTACCTGACCTTTATTTCCTGCTTTTTCAACCTCAGCTGTGCTGCGCAAAGCAGCTGAGGTTGAAAAAGCAGGAAAAAAGAGGCTTTTTAAACACTGCGCACCCGCGCACAGTGCTTTTCAGCTGTCTGGGCGGCACAGCTAAAGGTTGGTTTACACACGTGTGCAGTGTGTGCACGCAAAACGTCACCGAACCAGTAGTAACACCGGTTGAATCCCACCACTGGTTCAATTGTGGCTGTAAGTTGAGGACTACCTGTGTTGCTGATAATTGGAAGTAGATGTAATAAGTGATGGTAAGAATTTATATTGGGGAAGTTATATTATTATATTATATTTAAAATTGTATAGAAGAAGAAAAGTTGATATTCCTCTGGATTTGAAGGCAACTAGATGGAAGTCACATCAATATCTATTTTTTTTTTAAATAGTAGCTATGGCAGATTGCACTCTTTTATTTATCTAAAATTTCTCACATATACAAATAAATATCTGTGTAATCTGATAAATTTTGATAGCACAACAGCCTTGTTGTCCATAGCTGAAAGCCATCAGAATTCTAATCAGAATAATATTGTCTTTCCACCACTTTTTTTGTCTTTGCAGTGAACAAGCTAAAACTGTCACGGGTAAGTATAGCGGGATTTAAGACCTGGATGGGCAGAATAGGGAGGTGGAACGGGAAAGATTTTTGAAAACTTCCTGACATCCCACTTCTCTAAAGTTAATGAAAAGTTTGAAGAATTGCAAGTTATCCTTGTCAATGTGGGCTGATGAGAATTGTTGGGAGTTGGGTGGCGTATAAATTTAATAAAGTTGGTGAAGTTGGTGATGATGAAAACAGGGCAGCTTTGAGGAAGAAACCTAAGGTTGGATTTTGCCCCAGCTTTGAGATCTTCTAAGGGGAAGATCATGGCAAAAATGTAAGGCAGTCTACGTAGCAGAGACAATTCTGTCCAATAGAAGGAAATGGATAAATAGAAGCTGTTTCTATTCGGTCTTATACATAGCTTCTATTTCAGGGGTCTCCAAACTTGGCAACTTTAAGATTTGTGGAGTTCAACTCCCAGAATTCCTCAGCTAGTCATGCTTGTGGAGTTGAAGTCCACAAGTCTTAAAGTTGCCAAGTTTGGAGAGTCCTGTTCTATTCCCATAGCAATAACACTAGCACTTAGACTTATATACCTGCCCAGAATCAGGGTTGGGATTCTACCAGTTCGCACCTATTTGCTAGAACCGGTTGTTAACATTCTAAGCAGTTCGGAGAACCGGTTGTTAGAAGAAATCACTGGCCTAATCCTGTAAGGAAGGCAGGAAGGAAACATTCTGGTGTTGCTTACAGAAACTGCCTCTCCGTTAACCCTTATTACATTCTCGGCAGGACTAGACTTCCTGTCTCAGGAACTTCTCTGGAGTTATTTTTCCCTCCTTTGCTGGTACTTTGCTTGTGTGGAGGGACCATTCAAAGTTACAATGGCACTGGAAAAAGTGACTTATGACCATTTTTCACACTTACGACTGTTGCAGCATCCCCACAGGCATGAGAGGCCAGGCGAGGAGATGCGTGCCTCGATGGGAGTGATATTGAGTTGGCCACACCCAGCCATAACATGACCACCAAGCCATGTCCACCCAGTCACATGACTACCAAGCCACACCTACCATCTAAGCCACGCCCACAGAACCAGTTGTTAAAAATTTGAATCCCACCCCTGCCCATAATGCTTTAGAGCACTTTCTGGGTGCTTTGTCAGCACATTGTCCCCAACACTCTGGGTCCTCATATTACTGACCTCAGAAGGAAGGAAGCCTGAGTCAACCTTGAGCCGGTCAGGATCGAACGCCTGGCTGTGAGCAGAGTTATAGCCTGCAAGACTTCATTCTAACCCACTGAGCCACCACAGGTCATGGATGCACCAGCAACGATCTCACTTAGCCAAATGGTTGAGAAGAATCTATCTCAGTGTCATTTCAGTAAGGGGTGTATAAGGTGAAAAAAGACCACAGGAAGGCCGAGGGGAGAATGCAAGGATCTGGAAAGGTAAGAAGGGTGGAGATCTTTGCATCAACAGTTTGGGTTCAACCAGGAGAAAGGAGTCAGCCAGCAGTGTAGCAGGGGAAATTTGGAAGTTGGAGTTGTCCTCCTTGTTCAAAGAGTTCAAACACAGGTAAGAACGGGAGTGTAACAGCAGAAGAATCAAACAAGAGGTGGGTGGCTCAGAAAAGTCAAATTGGCAGCCACAATTAACAGAGTAACAGAGTTGGAAGCAGGGGTGGCCTGCTGGGGGTTCGCAGGGGTTCGGGAGAGCCCCTAGCTAAGATTCTGTGTAGTTTGGAGAACCCCCAAATCCCCTCCTGGCTGGCCATGCCCACTCTACCCGTCTCCCCCTGGACTCCCCACACGGCCTGTTTTGGATGCAGGTAAGTGCAGGGCACGCACGGAGGCTTGGGGATGGTGAAAAACGGGCCTCCTGGAAGTTCAGCAAGGCCGGAAATGGGCCTGTTTCCAGCTTCCAGAGAGCCTCCGGAGCCCAGGGAGGCCGATTTTGCCCTCCTGGAGGCTCGATAAAAGCTGCTGGAGCCCGGCGAGGGCAAAAACGCCCCCCCAACACACACTGTGGTGCAGGAGGCTGATTAGGCCACGCCCACCATGGCTACACCCACCCAGGAACCAGGCAGAGAACCCTTTGCTAAATTTTTTGAAGCAACTCCTGTTGGCAGGGACCTTGGAAGGTCTTCTAGTCCAAACCCCTGCTCAAGCAGGTGACACTATCCTATGTCAGGCCAACGGTTGTCCCATCTCAAAAGCCTCCAGTGACGGAGCCCACACAGCTCCTGAAGGCAAGCCGTTCCTTCATCCCTTCTGTGATCAAAGCCCCACCTCATCGGATGTGCGTGCAGATGCAGGTAGCAAAATCAAATATGGCTTCCATCGTGCAGCTTGGGTCGCCATTTTGATTTTTCCGACATCCCTTTGGAAGCCCCTGCATGGAGCAGAGGGGAAATCAACAAACTCAGCTGCAATAATCTTCTAAAGGTGCTTTCTTTCAAGAGGCAACTGGACTGTTCAAGAAGAGATTAGTCTGCCATTTTTCAGAAACGGTGTAGGGCAGTGGTGGTGTTAGTGTTTGGGGATTAACCCCTAGCAGAGTATTGCAGCAGTAGTCAAACCAGGCAGCCAAACGAGAGTGGAAGGGCCCCAGAGTATAGACATACTGAACACAAACACTGTTTGTAGTTTAAATAGTTTTTAATCCATTTAGAGTTTAAAGCATTGTCATTCAGTCCATTAAGTCATTCACAGTATTTCCATCCAGTAAGACTCACTAGTATAGTCCAAGTTAAGAGTCCTTGCAATATCTTTATCAGCCGATAAAGATATCTTCTCCTCCTCCGGTGCCTCTCTCCAGAGGAACAAACGCTGGATATTCAGCAAGAAGTTCAAACAGTAGAAAAGTAGAATTACACAGTAAATCAGCAAACAATAGCAGACAGAAACATCTCAGTCACAGGCACAGTCACATTCACAGTAAGACACAGTTAGTCGCAGTAAGACACAGTTAGTCGCAGTAAGCTTTCCAGCTTCTAATGCTTCCTTATATTGTAACTTCTAACCGCACCCTTAATCGGCTAATTGCCTGCAGCATTGTGCTTAAAGTGATAAGCACTTAAACCATGATATCTAAGTTTTATATATTTATTCACCCAAACCATATTTGGTATCAATGTTATACCTAACAGGTGGGATTCAATTTTTTTTTTTTTTACTACCGGTTCTGTGGTTATGGCTTGGTGGGCATGGAAGGGGAAGGATACTGTAAAATCTCCAGTCAGAGGTGGGATTTGCCGGTTCTCTGAACTACTCAAAATTTCCACTGCAGGTTCTCTAGAACAGGTCAGAACCTGCTGAATACCACCTCTAGTGTAGGGTCTCCTGCTTGGGCAGGGGGTTGGACTAGATGACCTACAAGGTCCCTTACTTTTTTTCCAATTTTTTTTTTTTTATATTTCATAAATTATCTCTTTTAGTGAACAGTTTGGTTCCAGATTTTTACATTTCCATAGAAACATGACCTTAGTTACATCTTCGCCTTTCATCTTCAGTTTCATATCATATCATTACATGTATTTTCTATTCATATCTTAATTTTCCAATTTTTCTTCAAATATTCTCTTCTTAATACAGATTCTTTATACAATATTTAAAGTTATATATTCATTTCATATCATATCATTACATTTATAAATTTTATAAATTTTTTCTAATATTCTTCACATTTATTCCATATATTTCTACAAGGTCCCTTCCAACCAGTGGTGGGACTCAATTTTTTTTCTTCTAATGGTTCTATGGGTGTGGCTTGGTGGGCGTGGCAGGGGAAGGATACCGCAAAATACCCATTCCCTCCCCACCCCACTAACCTGCTTTCCAGCTCCATTCTCCTGTGTAAGAAGATCCAGCCAATCAGCTGGGATTCGGGAGGCAGAGAATAGATGGGGGCGGGGCTAGTCACAGGTGGTATTTGCCGGTTCTCCTAACTACTCAAAATTTCCCCTACCGGTTCTCCAGAACTGGTCAGAACCTGCTGAATACCTCCTCTGCTTCCAATTCTGATTATCTGTTATCTGACTTTCTGGCCAGACAGTCCAGTTGCCTCTTGAAAATAAAATAAAATACCACCTTTGGGACAACCATGAGTAGGATGACTGAGAGTCTGCAAAGACAATAATCTTCTAGCACCAACCTGTCACTCCATCCTTTTCCCAGAGTGCGTCGGAAAACACCTATGAAGCCGATGTGCATTACGCCGAATTACAGAACCTCCCAGACTCCGGCAGGGGCCAATGCGATGGCGGAGCCAACCCAGATGCTCAGAACAGCGACTACGCTACGGTGGCCGTTCTGAAAGAGGATGCCTGCGAGGAAGATTTTGGCAGTCACCAGCAAACGGAGGACAGCGGGGTAGAGGATGGGATGAGGGAGGAGCAGGTGTTTGTAGAAACGGAGTCAACTTCATGTGACTTGGAATAAGAGAGCCAAATGGAGGGACAGGAGTTTTGGGTGTTCCAAATGGATAGTAAGTCTCTCGTGCTAACCCCTTCCTTATTGCGAAGCCCATTTTCTACAGCTTTACAGGTAGCCCTCCTTCATTTAGTGACCATTCAAAGTTACCATGGCGCTGAAAAAAAGTGACTTATGACCTTTCCCCCCACACACACACACTTACAACCATTGCAGCCTCTTCATGGTCACGTGATAATCAAAATTCAAATGCTTGGCAACAGACTCACATTTACGACGTGTCCTGGGGCCACTTTTGCGACTTTCTGACAAGCGAAGGGAACGGGGAAGCCAGATTCACTGAATAAACTGTGTTACTGATTTAACAACTGCAAGGATTCGCTTAATGACTGCAGCAAGAAAAGGCTGTAAAATGGGGCGTAACCCACTTAACCGCTCTCTCGCTTAGTGACTGAAATTTTGGGCTCATTTGTGGTCGTAAGTCAAAGATTACCTGTATTTTTTTAATGCACTTTTAGTATATATTCATACCAGTGGTCGGTTTCAAAAAAAACCCTTCCTACTGGTTCAGAGAGCTCGCTTCGCATGTGGACTTCAACTCCCAGAATTCCTGAGCCAGCATAGATCATTTCTGTGTATTCTTTGGAGCATTTTGTGCAAATATGACAGAAAAGAAGTAGAAAAGTACTGTATGGAAAGATCCTGTTGGAATTCATTTTGTATTAATGTTGTAATACCCAATAATAATAATAATACCCAATACGCCTTTGTCATTCCTTGGACAACAGCTGGCTGTATTTATTTTTATTTCATTAGTGCCTGAAAGGACATTTGGAATTTAAGTGATAGGAGAATCTGAGAAGATACTGCAAGCATCGAGTCCAGCATTAAGAGCTGGACTTGATCAGATCAAAGCTCATCTAGTTTCGACTTCTTTTCATGGTTTGTGGTTTCCTGGTTCCTACAATGACCAACCTAATGCTTCAGAAGGCCTCACAAACAAGACATGGACGCAGTATTGAGAAATATTCAGCAAGCCTCTAATCTTAAAATATTAGATAGTCCATTGTGGTTCATAGGTATTGTTAGCATTACCTTTCTAAATTTGTCCAAGCGCCCTTCTAAACCATTGAAATTGAAAAGTGCTGTTCCAGCTTTCTGACTATTGATATCAAAATGTTGATCTGGTAAGGACAGGGGTGGGATTCTACCAGTTTGCATCTATTCGCTAGAACCAGTTGTTAACATTCTAAGCAGTTCGGAGAACCAATCGTTAGAAGAAATTACTGGCCTAATCCTGTAAGGAAGGCAGGAAGGAAACATTCTGGTGTTGCTTACAGAAACTGCTTCTCCGTTAACCCTTATTATATTCTTGGCAGGACTAGACTCCCTGTCTCAGGAACGTCTCTGGAGTTTTTTCTCCCCTCCTTTGCTGGTACTTTACTTGTGTGGAGTGACCATTCAAAGTTACAATGGCACTGAAAAAAGTGACTTATGACCATTTTTCACACTTACGACTGTTGCAGCATTCCCACAGTCATGAGAGGCCAGGCGAGGAGATGCGTGCCTCAATGTGAGTGATGTTGAGTTGGCCACACCCAGCCAATAACATGACCCCCAAGCCATGCCCACCCAGTCACATGACCACCAAGCCACGCCCAAAGAACCGGTTGTTAAAAAATTTAAATCCCACCCCTGGATAAGGACCTTTTATCACAAGAAACATCACTGATGAGGTGATTGTGGAATTGTCGAACAAAAATTTAAAAGTAAACTTGACCGCTTATGGCAATTGTGGGTCTTAATTGATGGAAGCAGGGAGAAAGGATTTCCACTCAAGTAGCAGAATTGTTTGGGCCAGTTTTACTTCCAATTTCCTCCTAAAGATTTATAAAATTAAAGGAATGTCTTCTATTACCTACCAAAGATTAAGTTTATTAAAGTACCAATAAAATGGGCGTAGAATACTATTTCCAGGTTAAAAATATTTTAAAACAGTCCACCCCCCAATAGATACCTCTGAAAACAGTAGAAGAGAGGTAATCTGAAATCTTACTAAAGCTCCAAAAGTGCCTATTTCTTGAAGGTTTTCCTAAGAAGGTATGTATTTATTTTAAAAAATTATAAAATTGGGATGATAGTTAAGCAGAGCCGATGGGAACCACCGTAACTTACACCCAAGTTTATGCTGGAAAAGGTTGTGCTGCAATTAAGCAGGCAAGCTGTCCTTCGTGGTATCAAATTATTCTTAGGAAAAAAAAAGTAAAAGGTAAGTTTTGAGGAAAAGGAAAGAAGCGCAGAACTCATTATATGTGCATCTCTGTAGCAAAGAGTCAAAAAGAAGAAGAAGGAGATTACAACACTATTCAAAGCAACTTACTAGCAACAACAAAGGAAATGACACCTCTCACTGGTTTTAGGAAGTTATTCTCCCGTTCTTTCTCAGATAAGACAGTGGAAAAAAAATAGGAAATGGTCACATTTCCTCTCTGATTCTCTGTAAGGTTTTAAAATGCAGAAGGAGAAAAAAAATTCACCACTTCCCTCTCATTGTGTCCTTCCTACCTACCTCCTCTCTTACACAAACACACATGTTTATTCAGAAGATAAAGCCAGATCTTCTTCATGAGCTGCTCCACACAAATCTGCAGCAGTAGGAAGTTGATTCCACCCCCCACCCCCACCCCGGTGCTTTTTCAAGAGGCAACTGGGCTTCCTTTGTTTTTCCTCGAAGACGTTTCACTTCTCATCCAAGAAGCTTCTTGTGGTTAGCCGGCAGCAGGTGCAGACGGCTGAGGAGAGCAAGGACTCAGATGAAAGGCCCAGGGCCATTAGGGAGGAGACTGCTGCCTTCAGAGATTGTGGGGGATGGCAGCAGCGATGAGGAGGTTCCCGAGGAGTCTGTGCCAAGTGCATGTGTGTGCAGGTTTACTCACAGGAAAGAGCAGTTGCAGCAACATGGGTGACTCAGGAGTAAGGCTGCAAGGTAATGGCCCCTCCTTCAAAAAGATAAAAGCGAGCTATGAAGCAAATGTTCTTTGTAGGAAGCAAAGACGTTTTGAAACTCAGTCTTGTGGACATTGCAGTATCTTAAGTTGGTATTTGAAGACTCTTGTGCTGTGAAATATTTCTTATCTGGCAGCCTCTCACAGTTTTGGCGAGGCTTGTGCTTATCAAAGTTAATTACACTGCTCAGAAAAATAAAGGGAACATAAAAATAAGACATCCTAGATCTGAATGAATGAAATATTCTTATTAAATACTTTGTTCATTACATAGTTGAATGTGCTGACAACAAAACCACACAAAAAATATCAATGGAAATCAAATTTAGCAACCCACGGAGGTCTGGATTTGGAGTTACACTCAAAATTAAAGTGGAAAAAAACACTACAGGCTGATCCAGCTTTGATGTAATGTCCTTCAAACAAGTCTAAATGAGGCTCAGCAGTGTGTGTGGCCTCCACATGCCTGTATGATCTCCCTACAACGCCTGGGCATGCTCCTGATGAAGTGGCAGATGGTCTCCTGAGGGATCTCCTCCCACACCTGGACTAAAGCATCCCCCAACTCCTGGACAGTCTGTGGTGCAACGTGGCATTGGTGGATGGAGTGAGACATGATGTCCCAGATGTGCTCAATTGGATTCAGGTCTGGGGAATGGGTGGGCCTGTCCATAGCATCAATGCCTTCGTCTTGCAGGAACTGCTGACACACTCCAGCCACATGAGGTCTAGCATTGTCTTGCATTAGGAGGAACACGGGGCCAACCGCACCAGCATATAGTCTCACAAGGGGTCTGAGGATCTCATCTCGGTACCTAATGGCAGTCAGGCTACCTCTGGTGAGCACATGGAGAACTGTGCGGCCCCCTAAAGAAATGCCACCCCACACCATTACTGACCCACTCCCAAACCGGTCATGCTGTTGCAGGCAGCAGAACGTTCTCCACGGCATCTCCAGACCCTGTCACGTCTGTCACATGTGCTCACTGTGAACCTGCTTTCGTCTGTGAAGAGCACAGGGTGCCAGTGGCGAATTTGTCAATCTTGGTGTTCTCTGGCAGATGCCAAACGTCCTGCACAGTGTTGGACTGTCAGCACAACCCCCACCTGTGGATGTTGGGCCCTCATACCACCCTCATGGAGTCTGTTTCTGACCGTTTGAGCAGCCACATGCACATTTGTGGCCCACTGGAGGTCATTTTGCAGGGCTCTGGCAGTGCTCCTCCTGTCCCTCCTTGCACAAAGGCGGAGGTAGTGGTCCTGATGATGAGTTGTTGCCCTCCTACGGACTCCTCCACATATCCTGATGTACTGGCCTGTCTCCTGGTCGTGCCTCCATGCTCTGGACACTACACTGACAGACACAGCAAACCTTCTTGCCACAGCTCGCATTGATGTGCCATCCTGGATGAACTGCACTACCTGAGCCACTTGTGTGGGTTGTAGACTCCGTCTCATGCTATCACTAGAGTGAAAGCACCGCCAGCCTTCAAAAGTGACCAAACCATCAGCCAGAAAGCATAGGAACTGAGAAGTGGTCTGTGGTCACCACCTGCAGAACCACTCTTTTATTGGGGATGTCTTGCTAACTGCCTATGCTTTCCATCTGTTGTCTATTCCATTTGCACAACAGCATGTGAAATTGATTGTCAATCAGCATTACTACCTAAGTGGACAGTTTGATTTCACAGAAGTGTGACTGACTTGGAGTTACATTGTGTTGTTTAAGTGTTCCCTTTATTTTTTTTTTGAGCAGTGTAGTTTGCAGCAGCCATTTAACCTGGGATTCATAAGAATCATTAAAAGGTTTCTGTTCCCTTTGGTTCGTGTTTGTTTTATTGGAAAGGGGTTTGGCTCCGAATACTTCTTCAGTTTGAACTGAACGCTAACTGAATGAGCTGAAGTTGAATGAACTGAAGAAGCTTTTTGGATGAGAAGTGAAATGTCTTTGAGGAAAAAAAACAAAGGAAGTCCAGTTGCTTCTTGAAAAAGGGCCTTTGGGACAATCACAACCTGGGTGACTGGGAATCTCCACAGACATTTAGTGAAAACATTTCTTCAGCTTGATCCACAATGTCCACATATTATCTACAGACACTTGGAAGATGCAGTTAAGTACACATATAATGCTTTGAGCTAACCTTTTTGCATCTAGGGATTGTAATCACACATTGTAGAAAGCCATGATTTTTTTAAAAAAAACCTACTTGGTTTAATTTTTGTTTATAAAATTTCTAGGTAACCGTAGGCAGCTTACAATCATCATAATAAAGATCAGTTGGTGATATTTGCATATTAAAATCTAAATCATGATTCACGAGCATAGGAGGGCCAGCTTCACACAACAGGCTTAGCCAAGATCAAGGGAAGCCATACTTCTTTGTACGCATTGATCATCTCAAGAAGAATGCAGAGCAAGCTACCTGATGCTACCTACCGGTAGGTAGTTTGAACTGCAACAGACGTGGCGTAGTCCAGGTGTGATGGAGCAT